ACTGTACAGTAACTAGCTCTAATGGGTCAAAATGTGTTGCATCATACATACACTGTTAACAATTCCCTGTAGAATCTACAGTAACTTACTGGCAGCATTTTTCCAGTAACATACTGTAAATCAATTACAGCTAAAATGCTCTATTTCCATTGACAGTACTATTTACTTTGCTGTATTTTCCGATTGTATATCTTAATACACAGTAATTTTTACAATGAAACGTTGAAATACAGTAACATACTGCATAACTGTAAAATGCAGTTCATATTACAGTTAAATACTGCCATTTACACGTCACTAACAGTGTGTATGAGCTTATAATATAAATTTACACCTCGCATATATGATTATTTAACAGTGACAAACTTGCCATAACCTTTGTTTTCATCTGTCCAGAGGTGCAATAATTTAAATGCAATAATTTGACCTTTAATTGATACAAATTTTGAATTAAATGCGTTATTTAGGCATTAACTTAGAAATTAACATCACATATTATTAATAAATGTTTTTGTAGTCAATACATTGACTTTAGTTTAATTAGGTAAATAGGGCTTTACTTGTTAATGAACAAAATGCCTATAAATATAGCCACCGAATTTTTCATGTTGTAGACCAGATAAAAATATGATTTATATAAGTCTTGCAATATTTACTGATGCGATAAACATAATTTTCCCAAACTGGGTTGCGACTGGAAGGACATCTGCTGTGTAAAACATGTGCTGGAATAGTTGGCAGTTCATTCCGCTGTGGCATCCTCGGAAATAAAGACTAAGCCGAAGGAAAATCAATGAATGTATGAACGAACACCTCTGCAAATACACAATCTTGAATTTTCTTAAAAGGCTCACTAGACATTTTAATAATAAATAATTTTAATTGATATTTTGAAGTGCTGATGATATCAATATATGCATGTTCATTATCTCCATCCGGTGCTCATGCATAATGAAGTACACCCCATTTTGAAAATGAATATTTTTTTTACCAATTTCACAGTAAATAGGTCCTATACTTGGTGCATTTGAACAAAACAGATTCATTAAACAGATATATTTATTGAAATCCTATTTTAATCACCAAACATCTTTAGAAATAGAAGATAACACATTTTAATTCATGCAAAAATATAGCAATTTCCAAGCAAGTATGCCTACTTTTCATTTCTCTTGATTTTTTTTCTCTTTTTACATTTTTTTTATTTAATATTTTTCCCTAACATACAAATTTTGGTGTTTTAATTTTTGGATAATACGCTACTCTGTTAAATAAGCTTCAGATTTTGCTTCAGTATTGACTAATCTAATATATATGCACAAATATCATTTTGTAAAGCTTCCTATAGAAAATATTAATTTAAAAGAGTGATTTGTGAGGGGTGTACTCGTTTATGTTGAGCACTGTACATTGAATTATTGATTATCGGCATATGTCTAGTCACATGGTATTTCTCTGACCTGTAGGACTGGTTGAGCCGGTATGGATATCTGCCTCCTCTAGACCCGCGCACAGGACAGCTACAGAGCAAAGACGGCATCGAGAGAGCCATTAGAGAAATGCAGAGATTCGCTGGACTCAAGGAAACAGGCAAACTCGGTACATAATTCTGATCACACATAATTACCTGTAAAAGAGCTTGCAAATCTATTCACTAACACCATCTTGTTATTCAGTTGTACCAAAGATTGTACCCTTTGCGATTGCACCCCTCCCCTCTTTTTACAGTAATAAACGTTAATTTCAAAAGCGTTTAAGTACTTTTGCATTTGGCTGTAAATTTACAGTATTTTATTAAGTGTACACTGTAAAGAACATCCTTAAATTAGCAGTTTTTCATATTTTGTGCTTCATGTTTTTATTTTTTATGTTTATTTATGCTTTTAAACTGCATTATGGGACCTTGGACTTTTTTTTACAACTTCTAACCTTGAAAAGTTGGGAAAAAAGTGACTTTTAGAAACATTTTTAATAGTTTAAAGTGATATATTGTGTGCGTTGGTGTTGTAATTACACTACAAAAACCTTGTAATTAGCTGCCAGTACATTTTCTGTTATTCTACAGACTTATTTCTCTATATATTGTAGTTTCTTATACATTATAATATTTCAAACTTCTAAAATGTCAATAAAAGTCACTTTGTTAAACTGTAGAGTTGAATTTCCAACATCAAAAGTCGACAGAGCAGAGATCAACATCCCATAATGCGATTCACAACTATAAATATACAGAAAACACTTGTGAAATACAAGTTACTGAAACAGAAATACTTGTTTCCGTCTACAACTGTGAATATTCACCATCTCATTCCCTCTTTCTCTGACTAGTATACCTTCTCGTCTTCTCGTCTACCCTTCTGTGACGATTAATCAACAGATATGAACTGTTTATTGATTACATTTATTAACAGTAACTTTTTATTAACAGATATTTTTTACAGTATACATGAAACAACTTAACAGTCTTGTTTTCTAAAACTAGTCCAATGCCATTTCTTCA